TAGGTATTTTTCCTTCTATAGTGTTTTACTGTATTATAAGTGTATGAAAATAAACAAGCACTGTTACATCATCTTTACCTATTTGTTTCATAAGTTCAAGACATGACCAAACATCTTCTGGTCAGTGTGTAGTGATGCTTTTTGAAAAATTATCAACACATAAAACAGTATTTATATAACAATGAATGGTCATAAAAAACACTAATGACACTAAATCAATAAAGTGGAAAAACATGTAAAAACAAAAAGAAAGGAGAACATAATCTCACACCCATAAAAGTAGATTTCTGTGTTACATGATGCTGATTCAGATTTGTATGAACTTCTTACATCTTACTGTAACAATGGCTGAGCACAGATGGAAAAAAAGAAAGCTAAGTGTTAAGTTTTTCCCTTTTGGGCCAATACTTTTTATTCAATCAGCTTTAGGCTTTGAATAACTAGATGAAGTATGCAGCTCTGCAGCTTTGCAGCGATTCATCAAATGCATTCTCTTAGTTTTATAGAATTTAAGAAAACTCCATTCAAACTTTAATCTTCGTTGCCAATCCAATCTTATTGATTTTTTAGTGTAAAACACCAGTCGCATGTAAACCATCATTTACATCATTAGGAATCTTGCTCCTGCTTGATGTCTTCACTTTGTGATTGAAACATCTCCACAATGAAGACTGGCACATGTTTTTGCTCCTCTTTGATCAATGTATTCTCAGTGTCCTGACATATGGTTACCATGGAGTATCCCTGGGATCCTGCTGCTTCAACTGGGATTTCATACTTGACATCCTCAGTGTCACATTCTGTTTTCACACTGCTCTCAGTGTTTGGACATATGGTTAGCATAGAATATCCTTGTGATAATTGTGGTTCAGCCAGGATGTAATAGTGGGTATCCTCTGTTTTTGATTCTGTTTTTATATTTCCTTCAGAGTCTGAACATATGGTGAAAGTATATGGGGATGGGGATCCTGCAGCTTTACCTTGGACTAAATACTTGACATCGTCAGTGCTTGGCTCCGTTTTGACATCCCCACAATCTGTATGATATTTTTCCTCAGTGACTAGTTCTGGTTTCATATCGCCATAATGTGAACCATTTTCCTCCTCTTTGATCTGTAAGTTTCCCTGGAGAAGACTGTCACAACCGCCACTCACTGGACTCCCAGCCATCTGCATTATTGTCACAGGATATGTTTGTGACTTTGTGTCCTCCTCCTCAAACAATAGTTCCTCATTAGTTTTGACATCAAGGAAATAGACACGATTGACATCTGAATGGTATCTGATTTGCCGCACAAATCTACCTTCTCCATTAGTTGTCTTGTCAGGTTTTTTAACAGAAGATTCAGCACTTTTCTCATTTTGTCTCTCTTGTATGTACCTTTCTGAGGCCTCAGGATCAAACACAAATGGTAATTTGAAGACCTCATCTGCTCTTTCTAGATTTTTCCGGTAGTGTTTGACCATGGTTTTGACCTTGGTTGCAGTAGCTATAGAAAATTCCCACCGCCTGTAGTGCTGTGAGCTTAGATCAAAGTTATAGTCAAGGATGTCATACAAAATATCTGGGAAATAGTGTCCTACTTTCTTGACTGCAAATCTATAGATCTCCACCACTGCAGTTCTACTCAACAGCCTTAAGTCCAGTTTTTCTTTGTCCCCCGATTGTGATGTCACATCTAGAAGGAGACCTATCTCTGAGCACACTGGAAAACGCTCTCCTCTAATCCCCCGAGGTCTCTTTGGTTTTACAACATCCATATTACCACTTGGCAGTGGGGCTTGTTCCTTTGTTTGCAGTGCCAACTTTCTTTTTTTGGTTGTTTCCTTCCTTTCATTTTTCTGCATGGCAGATACTTCTTTCAGTTTACTTGCATCTCCAGGATCTTTGTGAGGATATGGCTGAACAACAAAAACTTCACTGAACCATGTGGGCCCTTTATTATGTAGCGCCACCATTCTGTGGAACAGCAGTGCAGGATTTATATCTTGGCTCTGCATGCCAAAATTAAAGTTGTGTTCGAGAACATCATTTATTAGCTTATGTTTTGTTCCACACAATCTTTTAGCAAAATGAGCCACTTCAATCATAGTACCACGTGTCAATACACGGGGGTCAATTTTATCTTTTGGTTTGTCTTTGTCCACACATAGGCTTAAACCTATTTTCTTACAGAGCGGGTAACTGTCCATTATTTTCTCCTCTGCTACTTGAAAAGCAGGAACGGGTGCCTTTGCAGACTTCTGTGCTGTGCAGTTTTCTTCAGTAGAAACTGTGTCAGTCATGGCATGTGGACGAGGATGCAGCAAGTGGTCAGGGTCAGATTCATCCTGACGAGGCTTAGAATTTCTGTCTTGATAACATTTGTGACAATATTTAGTTTTTGGATAAGATGATTTTTCTATGCTTTTTGAGTCAGGGAGATCAAAACGAATTTTCAGGACTCTGGATTTTCTATTTTTTAATCTCAGAGTTCTGAATTTGTCCAAAACTTGCTGTGCAAAAACACTGCGACAAAGCTCATTGTTCAAATTCAGACGAAAATTGTACTCCAGTATCTCTGTGATGAAATGCTTTTGGGCTGATTGCAGTGCTGTAGCAACAGTGTTTATTTCAACCATGATGCCATTGGTCAGTAATTTTGGATCAAGATTTTGTTTTACTCCAGATCCCACATTGAAATCAATGCCCAATTTCTTACATCTGGAAAAAGAATAAAATAGGCAATGTTCAACATGAGGCACTGAGAGGATCTGTTGAATTTGGTTAGTCCGCAATTTCCAGAGTACTACATTGAGCTCATTTTCATGGTTATTGTCGGTGGAACTCCCTACATTTTGGTCTATGATTTGTGTCTGGGAAGAGCTAGTACTACATGTATCAACATTTGGGTTGTTCTGGCAATCCATCACCATTGATGAGAAATCTTTCATTGAGTGTTTTATTTTCTTGGAGGCTGTTATACAGGTTGAAAGATTTTTTTGCTCCATTATGATAGGGATTTGAGTGAGAATAGTTTTAGCGAGGTCAGAGTCTCCATTTTGCCAATCAAGATCAAAGTTGTGTCTGAGGATATCAAGACAAATCTGATCAAATGTTCCACACAACTTTTCTGCAAAGTTTGTCACTTCAGTCATTGCCCCATTGGTCAATTTGTTGATCTCAAGTTTTTTATTTGGCTGACTGCAGATTACATTTAGCTTCAGACCAATGTCCTTGCAGAAGGGATAGATGTCCACCCTGTGTTCTTTATTTTCAGTGTGAGAATCAGGAGGATGCATGGGAGCAGCATCACACTCTGTTGTTCTCGATATGCTGCTGACTTCAGGGTTGACACTGCCCATGCTCCAACTGGCCATGTTGACTGACGACACAAGACCAGGAAGTTCAAAAACCTCTTTTGAAAGTTTGACTGCATGTGCACTATTTTTAAGCTGTCTTACTCTATTCATAACTTCACATGCAAAGGTTTTCCTATGGTTTTTGCTCCAAAGGCCAAAGTCAAAGTTGTACTCAAGGATCTCCATGATGAAATCTTGCTGGGATGAATTAATTGCTAAGGCAAATTTAGCAATTTCAAGCAGAACTGAAGTAGTTAAAGAGTCAACACTTACGTTTTGCTTTGGACCAAATCCAACATTGAATTCCAGGCCAAATGACTTGGACTTTGTGAATGCTTTGTCTAACAAGGAGAGGATTTGTTGTACACGGTTCACACGCAGCTTCCACATGTTGCTCTCCGTTTCCATTTCCTTTTCTTCCATGTCACATTTGTATGGCACAATTCTTGGAATCTCTGTCTTCTCTTCATCTCCACACTGTCCTCTTTCATCAGGCTGACTTGCAAATATTGGGTTCACGTTTGAGTTTAAATTTGGTAAACTGGATGAACCATCTGTGGTGGTGAGGAAAGGTTCATGTGTATCCACACAGCTTGATTCTGATTCACTATGGATGTCAGAACTTGTTGGGTTTTTTAAGTCATCTTCATTTTCATCATTTTCTGAATCTGTGGCTTCGTCTGAGTCTAAAGGACACATGTAGTTGTGGTCACTCTCCACTGTTCGACGATTACATAAATCAGTATGATGAGACAGTGTGTTTGTCTCTCCCTGTTCAGCCTGTTCTGTTCTGCGTCGTTTGGTGACGTGTTCTCTAGTTGTTGAAAGAGCTCTTTTTTCCCGTTTACTTTTTAAATCAGACTGCCTTTTTTTGCTCACTTCTTTAAATTGGTACAGTGGGGCTCCCACACTGGACAGAGGTGATCCTTTTTCAAGGGGATTTGTCTGAAAGGAAAATGGCTCACTTTTAAACTCGGGACTGATTTTGGTTCCAGTGGTAAGAAGTTGCTTCTTCCTTTTCTGCAGTTGTAATATTGTGAACCAAACTTGATTTTTTTCCTGTTGACATTTAAGATCAAGTTCAAAATTATGCTCCAACACACTGAAAACAACAGATCTGTAGGATGCAGTCAGTGCTCTAGTGAACTGTACTAGTTCTAACATCATGCCCTTTGTCAGTAAACCTGGATCTAGACTTTGTTTTGACTCAACATCAAGGCTCAGACCAATTTCCTCACAACAAGGGAACGATGGAGGAACATCGTCTTTCAGTTCTTCTGTTGACTGAGGCTCTGAACACTCTAATTCATCGACATCATCACTGTCATCAGCATGTGGTCCATCCATCTCTTCCATCTTCATATAGTCTTTAGATGGTGCTTGTGAACACTTCAATTTGTCTTCATGTTCACTTTCATCCATGTCATCTATGTCCACCAGGAAACAGTCAGTCTTATATTCTGTAGATGCCATGTTCAGCCCACTTTTGTTGTTGCTGGTACATTCTTCCTCAGATGACGTGTCAAAGAGAGTAAAAGCTTCATGTTTATCTTCAGGAGGTTTTCGTATCAGGTGTCTGACTTTGTGCAGAAGTTGAGAAGTAAACTCAATCCGCTGTTGCTCGCTTTTCAATCCAAGATCAAAATTGTTCTCCAGAATATTTGTGATAAAATGCCATTTATTCCTCTTTACTGTTTCAGCAAAGTCACAGACCTCTAGTATGACACCATTTGTCAGTGAATGTAAATCCAATTTTTTCTGTGTGTTGGATCTAACATTAAAATCTAGTCCCATTTTATTGCTGTAATGGAATGGTTCTGGATGTCTTGAGTACTTCTTTACATGCTTAATGCGCCACTGCCATACTGTGTTGGCATCCATCTTTTTATTGTCTTTCAGACTGCCAGTGTCCCCGTCGTCCATCCTCAGCGATCTTTTTGATCTTCTATGGCTTCCTTGCCTGTATGTAGTTGAGGGGGGAAACTTATAAATGATAGACACCATATCTTAACCGTAAGTTATACGCATTGTAAATGTATTAATATCAAATTTATAAGACTCAAGTAACAGATAATTTAGAGTTATAGCTTTTTAATAAGAGGATTTTCGAGATTGTCTCTTTCTTTTTGGACTACTGATTAAATAGAAAAAAAGTCATCACTTAAGTACTCTGGTTACTTGTGATGATATCTTAACGTGTTCTTGGCAATCAATTGGTCAATGATTCAAACAGAATAGATTAAACAATATAGGAAACAATCATTTTAAACCTGTTATTATTTTATGTAGCAGTATGGCAATGTATAATGAATTTCACAGCTTCATTTCTCTCACAATGTATGAAATTTGTTACATAACCAAAATGCCAAGTGGAAGGAAAGTGATGAGCATTTTTAGAGATGAGCTGCCTCAATGCATATTTACTTTTACCAGCAATTCGCATGGAATTTGCAGATTTTCTTTAGGGCAACTGGATACTTCGTAATTAATTAATTTCCATAGCTGACATCATGCAACCCTAACTGTATCACTTACAAGTAACCACCGCTTACATACAATAGTTTGCACATATGTAGATGTTTACTGAGAAAAGGTGTAAGTGCAAAGCTTGATTTTAGGATTTTAAGAATCGATAATGGATCATACAAATGAAAATTGCGACAAATCAGAAAATCTAGCTTAGTGCTACTGTACTGAGATATCTCTCTCCCTCCTTCTCTTGGTCTCTCTCTAATTACATACATGAAAAACTAAGTTAAAGGAGATAAGCCAAGTCGAGAATACATGAAATTCATTTCAGATGAGCAAATGGTTGGCGTTCTTAGGCTTGGCAGTAGATTCTAGAGGAAGTGAAGTCAATTACCCTGTCAGTATGTATTCCCTCTTACCTGAAGCTGCACCTAACCTTATCTCTCAAAGAGTCTCAAAGTATCTCATGATTATTAAACCTGACACTAACTCACCTTATTCAATTATCTTTGCTTACTCATGAGAGTTGGAATGTAATATTAAACACTGAGCAAATATACTGTGTTGAGCGTGCTACTTACCTTGTAAAATGTAATCAGCTTAACTATGACTTGCTCCAACATCTCTGGCCCACACTTCATATTGGCATCCTAGTTGGACATCCATCCAATGGGTAATGGGATTGTGCTGGTTCAGTGTCACCCTGAATGAATCAAGTTTGATATTTGTCAGTTCATGCGTGAATTGTTTCCACAGCACTCAAAAAAGACTGAGAACAGCAGTAGCCCCATTCGTGACTGTGTCATACACTATGTGCGAGACCATCTTGGAAGCTCCTATTGGAAAACTAACAGATGTGGGGCAGCTAACCAGATGTACATTTTCAAACCAACTAAATAGCCCAGTTTCTTTGGCCTCTCTCTTGTAAATACAAAAAAATACTACTCATTGTTGCGGTAAAAATACCCGCTACAACCAACTACCACTCGCTACAGCAGTAGGACAGGGTTGGGTGTAAGAGCCTTAACAGTAGTAGTAGTCACCTTATAATTGCTTAATAATATGGTCGTTCAATGTTTCACAGATTTCCAAAGGAAAGAACTGTTTGACAGCAAGACAAAGCGGGAAAAACATTCAAAATAAAGCGTTCACTTAAACTGATATTAGCTTTTTTCTGTGGGCTTTGTTAAGTGGCTAAAATATGTTTTTGCGAATGGCTCCATCCACAGCAGTACATCACTGAACTTCTATGCTGGTGCTCCCAACAGACTGACTATAGATGAGTATCTCCCACAACCCCATGTCAAACAACCCCAACTATCACTTTAAGGGCAGCAAAACAGATGTGATTGTAACACCCAGAGTCAGCTGACATTTGACTCCACCTACATCTAGTGAGGTGCCACCAAAGGAATTGAACAACAGGGCCATATTCCAGTAAGGCGGTGGACGACAATCAAAGTGTGAGTAAAGCAGCTGGGATAAATATATTAAGAGTAACCAACTATTTACTTTATCATTTTTATCCTTATGAATACACAACCGTGGTCCTGAGACTGCCCCCATAGGTTACTGCAGGAATATAATATTGTCGGATCTTATAATCAAGAGCTATGCTATATATTAGCAACATTAAACTACTAAGTTATGGCGGCAGGGATATTCGTAAATTAGTATCAATAGTACTGTCCGGTTATTTTTATACTTTAAATAACTATTATTTCATACTGTATACTACAGGCTATCGATTAGTTTATTGCCCATTGCCTTGATCTTTCATCTCTGGGGAAGAGGAGCTGAGGGAAGAACAGCCTGCCATTTTCAGATGAAGGTAAGATGCTATGGAATACTATAATTACTGCACAGAATACCCGAAACTCAAGTCCAACTCTATATATTGCCAGATGTCTTTTCCACAAGAAAATGCAAAGCAATAGGACTAAAGCTGTTATTAACAGACTGGATACCCAAATGGTGACTAAATGTTAAGAGGCTGCATTGTGTTTTCTGCTAACTCTCCACATGTGGGTGAGACGCTGATCAGCTAGGATGCAGAGCTGACACTAGACAAGGCCATGGACATTGCTAGCTCACATGAGTTAGCACAGGCACAGCTAAAAGAAATAGTGGGCACAGAGACCACAACAGCCATTATGCCGTGCACTCAGTAAGCAAAAGACCAGACGCAAGATGTCAGAATAGCATTCAACCTGCTATGCAAAGAAAGTTTAATGCAGCAAACAATGAAAGCAGCCGATGTGGAGTACACACAGCATGAAAGAGCTCTGCCCAGCTAAAGCAAAACAATGCCTGAAATGCAAAAATCTCATTTTGCAAAAGCATGCAAAATAAATTCCCAGCACAGACAAAAACTCACAGGAGAACTGGGCACACTATCAGGGAGATAGATGCAGATGAGGAGCAGGAGAAGCTGTACATTGATGGCCTCCATAATTGAAAACACAAATGAAAGCAACAGTAAATGCCCTCCCTGAAAACATATGCAACACACTGTTCCAAAACACAATCTTAAAGCCACCTATATATAAGCACACCACTTATGGAAGAGCAGCAAAGCCAGGTTCGCACCATGGCTCTCATCTTTTGTAAAGGAAAAGACATTGTCTACCTTCCTGGCTCAGGTTTGAAATGCACAGCAGTAATACTGACAACTTAAAGAATATTTATAGTTAGGTTTACACCTACGGGCACATTGTATGTTTAGGAAGAGTCCAGTAAATGTTCATAAAGGTGTACAATAGAGTGACCGGTCTGTTCTGATAAGAAAAAGCATTGGCCAATGTTTTGTGTGAGTACCAATATGGCTGGATAATCAACCAGTTATAACACTGATGTTGCCATCCTTCCTTCACAAGTAAGCCTGAGAGCAAAAATAACACCACTCGTGCACTGCACGTGGCTTTCCGGTTTATCAGAAAAAAATAATCACCTCATGTCAAGTCCATCAAGTGCATAATTCCATCCAATCACAACAGAGGTACTGTATAACCTATATGAAGTGATTTCATGGACACAGGTTAAGCTCATCTACCAATTTTACAATCTGGGGATAAAATATCATCATTGAAACACACCTTTTGAACACAATTCAGTATCATAAATTGTAGGCTAAGGCCTATTTCTGCAATTTTACTTAAGTCAAATAATTATTGAAGACATCAAAGTAAGTGGGACACCAAACGAAATCAACACCGCGCACCATTAATAGCGCTGTTTTTCATACCACTGTCTCAATATCGTGCGTAAATCCTCTTCATATATGCCCTGCAATAAACCAATTTTGCCTGCTTATTATGTGAGGCCTGTTAGGCAAGGAAAAGGCTGAGTGAATTAGTGCGCCGCTCCCATCTCTGAAAAGAAGTAATGGCACAAATCACAGCAGTAAAGATATTTTATATAATATGGTGTGATGTGTGAATGAATCTTCGGGTGATTAAGAAACTGTGGACAAATTTAGAGAATTAATGGTTAACACTGTGGCACATTTACCCGGCCGTTAGAATGATTGCCTCTCTGCAGAACCTCATGTCATGCATGTCTCTTATCTTTGTGAACACACAATATATAAAAAAAATGGCTTTCTGTGGGCTGTATTCTAATGTTCCACTTGACTTATCAGAAGCACGTTTTCAGCACATTCTGCTTGTGCATAACCGGCTGAACGTATGCACCCTTAAAATAACAGCGACTTCAGACCTGGTTTTTGCTGGTCAATCGCTTTCAGCGGCATCAATGAATGCATCAACATCAATGCGCCTGACCATTCCTCCTTTTGAGACCAACACGCCCATGGACTTGCTATTTAAGCAACTTGGGAACTGAACGGGTAAAGGACAACTGCGTCAGTCAGAAACGAGCAAAGACACCTGCGTTGCGCTTTGCGCCGGGTATAAGATAGGATCCTACAAATACGGTACTGCAACTGCAGTTCTGGTATCAGCTTCCAGTGCTTGCACTCGCTAGGCGGCGCTGGCGCTAAAAAGTAGGGTCCTGGAATCTGCAGCCTTCGGCCTCAGGAGGCAGTAATGAGCCCATTATGGCTTAGTGCACCACAATTAGCAAACAAGACGGAACAGCAGAAACATACTTGGACAAGTCACACAAAGGTGATATATATATCCAGAGTGTTTTCAGACAGTATTTTTCGGTTTTGCAAGATGAAAAACTCAAAAGACAAGGACAACCTGTTGGTTTTGCTAATGTACATTTGGTTTTCTGGCGCTTTTCTGTGGGACTGTCCAGGACTGTTTCCCGCGCAGTGAATGAGGCAGTCTTGAAATAGGTTAAAACAGCAGCGGAATCTAATGTTTAAAATACACATTTAAAGAGTATTTGGTCACCAATGTTTATTTAGACGAAAATAAAATTACGTTTAAAAACACGAATAAAAACTTTACCATTGCCTATACATCCCCACCCCACCCCGGAATGAACGTCATCTTCCATTTATCACCTTTTAAATCCCCCCCCCCCCCCCCTCCCCCCCCCCCCCCCCCCCCCCCCGCCTCCCCCCCCCCCCCCCCCCCCCCCTTTACTCTCAAGCACTGCAATATAGCAAATAAAACTGCAATGCAAGAAGTAGGCTAATGATGAACTTAGTCTAGAGACATGAAAATGTTTACATGCACTGTAACAATGGTGCAGCGGTTAACTTCTTTCTTGTTACCACGGCAGCCTGTAACTTACAAAACAACAACAACAACAACAGTCGAACAGCACTGTTACTAACTCCGTAGACTCAGGTCCAACCACGATACCTCCCACCCCTCTCTCCGGTCGCTACTATACAGTCGACTTCTTTAGACAGAGGCTCAATCTCCGCCATGATCGAAATAGGACGAAAGAGACGGGGACAGACTTACCAAATGATGCACAGCCGTTGTTCTCACTTGTAATCACCACACGAGGTTTTTACAACAATGCCTTGTCATTAAACTGCGACTAAAATCTCCGGACTGTGAGACACGATCCAAAGTTCTAGCCGGAAGTAGTGAAGAGCAAAGCCTAGCAGGAAGTACTGAGAATAAAGCACGGGGACTTCAAAATAAAAGTGTACAAAAAGCGATCCGTCAAGTATTAGATTTCAATGCCTACCAATCAGCATTTGAAATAAGGTTTTAATTATAGAATTTCATGAGTGACTTTTTCCTCACTTTTCCAGCTTGGCATCGTACACCTATATATATCCTTAAAAACAAATACGTGAGGTTTTATGGTCTCAAGTGAAAAAAATAATTACAATGTGCTTGCTACAGAGGAATCTGAAAAAGACCTTGTAATTACAAGATCGGGATGAGGATCTCGTAATCATGAAAAAAATGGAAAGGTGCCACATAGGTCCTTTTACTTTTTAAATCAAAATCAAAAAAATGATAAAAGCCGTTTTTTCAGTGTCCATGAACATTGAATATTGAGTCAAACAAAGTGTGAAAAACGCGTCGTTTTTTCGATTGCTGTCATTTCCACTATTCGCTTTCCCTTGTGAATTAAAGACTACAGATGCCTGAAATCAATAGAGGATGAACCGGAAGTAATATTAAACCGTCAAAATAAAAGTGAAATGTGAGAGATCTTAACTAATATTTAAAAAAAGACTTTGCTAATGAACTGGTAACCTGTTGGTTCAGATTAAGCTAAACTTACTCAGTAAGTATGACACATAGTGATATAATTTTAGTTGAGTGGTATTAATTAATATTGTGGAAACTATTGCCCCTACTGCACATTCCCTATCCAAGTAAAGAGCATCTAAGTTACTAGCAGACGTCCCCATCACTCACTGTCAAGGTTATAACATTGACATAAAAAAAAAAATACATTTTAAAATAAATCTGCATTCCTCCTCTATCATTATATGTGCTGTTGACTAATTCTATATTGAAATCTATATTGATATCTATATAAAAAAGCATTAAAAAATACAGAGGACATCCATCTATCAGATGGTAAGCACACTTGAATGTTCATATTTCTAATAAAATATCTGCATGTTACAATGACTGTTAATGCTCCTTCTCTTCTTTGCCAAACAAAGTTCTCTACTATGTTGTCATAGCATATCTTATGCTAGAGAAGAAATTTTAAATAAAAAAAAAATGCTCATTATCAACATCACAATTTCCACTTATATATCTCTAGAATTAAATATTATATCATATATACCCTAACCCTTTAAATAAATATTTATATTGCATATTTTTATTTCCATTTTAAGAAATTCTTGAGCAGAAAACACAGCAGGAGAAAATATACTCCTTTATATAAAATGTTGCAGAACAGCAATAAAAATACAATAGTCCATCAAGATCCAAGTCACTTTCCTTTTATTAGTGTCTTATACAGTGTATTAAAATTATAGCACAGATATACTCATCTTTAAAGATTTACAGCACAGATTAAGGAAATGATCACTTATTTTGATGAGTAAGCAGCTATTCCTTTTTGAAACAAAATCTGAAAAACACAAAACACACAATGTAAATGACCATGAATAAGTCAGAAAAGGTAATAAAAACAAAGGACAAAAGATATTTAAAAAAAATGAAAAAGAAAAGGAAAAAAGTGATATAGCACTCAGAGGATGCTGATTTGCTGATACAAATTTGTATGAACTTACAAATTATTGTAGTTACATCTAGACACAGAAGAAAAAAAGCTTAAACTATTAACAAATGTAGCAGGTAAACCTTTATGGGTTGCTCTGAATCATTTCATTTTAAGGGAGGCCGTATGAAACCTGGCAAGGAACTCAAATGAAAAGCAGCCTTTACATAAATGTTGCTTAATATACATCATCCTTGTAAAAAGAAAAGAGATCGAGCTTTTCAGGCTTTGAACACACCTAAATTTTTTGAGTCTGGTTCAAAAGTGAACACAATCTTCCACAAACACACAATCTTAATTTTTGCAGAAGCACATGGTCAGATTGTCAGATTCATCCTGAAGTGTATAATTTCCATCTTGATAACATTTGGGGCAATATTTAGTTTTTGTATAACGAGATTCTTTAATGTTTCTTGAGTCAGGGAGTTCAAAAGGCGTTTTCAATATACTGAATTTGTTCAATTTAAAGCCATACGTTTCATTTTGTCCAGAACTTGCTGTGCTAAGACACTGCAACAGATTACATCGTTAAAACTCAGGTGAAAATTGTGCTCCAGAATCTCTGTGATGAAATCCTTTTGGGCTGATTGCAGTGCTGTAGCAACAGTGTTTATTTCAACCATGATGCCATTGGTCAGTAATTTTGGATCAAGATTTTGTTTTACTCCAGATCCCACATTGAAATCAATGCCTAATTTCTTGCATCTGGGATAAGAATAAAGTGGGCAATGTTCTCCATGAGGCGCTGAAAGGATTTTTTAAAATTTGATTAGCCTGCAATTTCCAGAGCCTTAAATTGAGCTTGTTTTCTTGTTCATTGTCAGTGGAACTCCCTACATTTAGGTCTATGGTTGGAGCCTGGGAAGAGCCAGTACTATACTGTGTTGAGTTTACCTTGTAAAACGTGATCAGCTTAACTGTGACTTGCTCCAACATCTCTGGCCCACGCTTTATATTTGCATCCTAGTTGGACATCCATCCAATGGGTAATGGGATGAATTCTTCTGGTTCAGTGTCACCCTGAATGAAACAAGTTTGATATTTGTCAGTTCATGCATGAATTGTTTCCACAACCCTCAAAAAAGACTGAGAACAGCAGTAGCCCCATTTGTGACCGTTTCATACACTGTGTGGGAGACAGTCTTGGAAGATCCCATTGGAAAACTCTAACAGCAGCTAACCAGATGTAGATTTTCAAACCAACCAGACAGTCCTGATCCTTTGGCCTGAAAATACTTCCAAGAAGCATAAACCAATCAAACAGAACAAAACCACCTGAGTTGCTTGATGACATTTGTTTTTGAGTGTGGAATTGCACTCATTGTTGCAACAGGCCACAAGGCTGTTGCAGTAAAAATACCCACTACACACCAACTACCATTTGCTGCAGCAATATGACAAGTCAGATGTGAGACCCTTAGGAGTGGTAGATTAGTAGTAGTTATCACCTTACAATTGCTTAGCAATATGGTAGTTAAATGGTTCACAAACTATAGTTCCAAAGGACTGTTTGACGGCAAGTTAAAGCAGTGAAAACATTGAAAATAAAGCGTGCACTTAAACTGATAATAGCTTTTTTCTGTGTGGTTTTTGTTTTTAGTGGCTAAAACATGTTTTTGCAAATGTCCCCATTCACAGCAGTACATCACTCAGCTTCTGTGCTGATGCTCCCAGCTGCTTCTTCAAACTGGGACCGTCCCAACTGAACCTACTGCAGGTAGGTTTTCTGTAAGAGCTTCAAGAGCTTCTCATTCACCGCGTTTCCCACGCGGTGAATGAGACAGTCTTAAAATTGGTTGCAATAGAGTTTAATATTTAAAATACACATTAAAATCAATACTGAGTCGCTAGTTTGAAACGTGCCAAACACGAACAAAACAATATCATTATCAGCATGTGGACTGCCCCGCTCCCCTGGATAATCGCCATCTTCAATTTATCACCCTTTAAATTTCATTGTCCCCTTTTCTCTCAAGCACAGGAATAATGCTGAACTTGGTCTAGTGACATGAAAAGCTAATAAAATCTCTATATGCACTGTAACAAAGGTGTAACGGCTGACCCCTTTCTTCTTTAACACGGCAGCCTGTAACTTACTAAACAACAACAGTTACAACACTACTCAGTAGTCAGGTGGAACCACTTCAATACCCCCACCCCTCTCTGGGGTCGCTACTATACATTCGACTGTATGGAGAGAGGCTCAATCCCTATGCTTCGCTAAAATCGAAATAGGACGAAAGAGAAGAGGGCAGACTTACCAAATAATGCACAGCCGTTGTTTCCACTTGTAATCACAACACGCAGCTTTTGCAACAATCTCTTGTCTTTAAACTGCGACTGAAATCTCTGATCTGAGAAATAATCCAAAACTCTAGCAGGAAGTAGTTAAAGAGCAAACCCTAGCAGGAAGTATTGAAAGTAAAGCGCGGGGAGTTCTTTTTCTTCTTCTGTTTCTTGGCGGATTGCAAACCAGCTTTAGAGGTGCATACCGCCACATACTGTGTTGGGGTGTATAGAGCCATGGCATTAGATCATCATCACTAATTGTTATAGTGGTACTTACACCCTATTTTCTGAATCCTGCCTGTATTATATAATCTACCAATCCCCTTCTGATTTCCCTGAAATTCTTCCTGTGCTCCATAATGATTTTAAACTCCATACCTCCCCTGCCTCAAGTACTGTTTCTTAATCTCTCATTCTCTGAATTACTACAATGTATGATTATATGTTCCATAAACTATCTTCCAGAGCGTTGCACCACTGACAAAGATTTGTTTGACTTTTCCCCATTACATATAACGTTGATTTAAACCCTGCATGCCCAAGCCTTAGTTGTGTTATGATTACCTCCTCCCTGTGGAAACAATATCTTCCTTTAAACTGTTGAACATGAACTGTCTTTTGTATATTATAGTAATGTCTCCTTTTATTGTCTTTATCCCATTCCATCTGTCAGGTGCTGATTATGGCTATTCTAATATCATAAGCTACTATAATCGCTTCATTATGTCCTTTAAGAGCCATCTTAGCCAATTTACCTGCTTGTTCATTACCTTTAATACCCAAATGGGCAGGGACCCTACAACATTGCACTTCTATACCCATCCTTTCTAATCTTAAAAGCGATGTGAGCAATGTGAATTTCTAACAAGAGATCATCTCTGACCATTTGCCTTGATAGCAAACCTCTGAGAGCTTGCATACCAATAAAAATTTTAAAAAATATGAAAAAGTATACATACACACAAACACACATATACATATATATATATATACATACACATACATATATATATACATACATACATACATATATGTATATATATACATACATACATATATATATATATATATATATACACACACACACACACACACACACACACACACATATATATATATATATATATATATATATAGCAGAAAACACAGGAGGAGAAAAGATGCTTTCAAATGCTTTATATAAAATGTAGTAAAAAATGGCAATAAAAAATAAAATAGTCCATCAAGATCCAGGTCACTTTCTTTTTTATAGTGTATTATGCAGTGAATTGAAATTATTTGAAGCACAGATATACTCATCTTTAGAGATTTAGATCACAGGTTAAAAAAAAAAAAGATCACTTATTTGTAATTCATATCTTGTGGTTTTCGACAGAAGGCAGCAATTCCTTTTTGAAACAAAAATCTGAAAAATATAAAACATACAATGTAAATGACCATGAATAAGTAAAAAAAAAAGAAGAAGAAAAAAAAAAGGTACAAATAAACATGAAAAAATAAAAACAAAGAAACTATTTGGTGAAAAAGGACCACTTAAAGGATGCTGATTTGCTGATACAAATTTGTATGAACTTCTTACAAATTATTGTAGCTATATCGGAACACAGAATGAAAAAAGAAGAAGAAGGAGTTTAAATTGACATCAATTGTAGCAAATAAACATTTATGAGTTGCTTTGAAACATTTAATTTTAAGGTAGGCCATGTAACACCTGGCAAGGAACTACTAATGAAAATTAGCCTTTGGATAACTGTTGCATTTACAAAAAATGTTCCTTAAAGTACACCGTCTCTGTAAAAACAAAAAAGCATACACCTTTCCAGGCTTTGAACACACACCTTCATTTTTGAGTCTGATTCAAAAGTAAACAAAATTTACAAGTATACATTTTTGCAGCATTGAATTAAGTTATCAAATGCATTCTCTGACAGAATACAGTTTTTCTAGCAAATACAGGCAACACCATTATGTTTAATGTAAAACACCTGTCTTTTGTGTGAACCATCATTTAGGTCACGCATGATCCCATTCCTGTTTGATGTTGACTTCACTTTGTGTTTGAACTTGAACAACTCCATAATGGTATGACTCCACTGGCACATTTTCTTGCTCTTCTTTAATTGATATACTCTCAGTGTCCTGACATGTGGTTACCATGGGGTATGCCCCGGATTCTACTACTGCAACTGGGACTTCATACTTGACATCCTCAGTGTCTGATTCTGTTTTAACACTCTTTGTACATACAGCTGGCATAGCATATCCTTCAGATACTTGTGGTTCAGCCAGGTTGTAATGGTGGGCATCCTCTGTTTCTGATTCTGTTTTTATGTGGCTTTCAGATTTTGGACATATGGTTAGTGAAGTATATCCAATGGATCCTACAGGTTTACCTATTTCCTCAGTGTCGGGTTCAGTTTTAACAATGCTCTCAGTATCCTTACCTACAGCTAGCATAGCATATCCTTCAGATATTTGTGGTTCAACCAGGTTGTAATACTGGGGATCCTCTGTTTCTGATTCAGTTTTTATATGACTTTCAGATTTTGGACATATGGTTAACAAAGTATATCCTAGGGATCCTCCAGGTTTAACTGTTTCCTCAGTGACTGGTTTCATAGTGCCATAATTTGAATCATCTTCCTCCTCTTTAATCTGTATGTTTCCCTGAAGAAGACTGTCACAATTTCCACTCACTGGATTCCCAGTCATCTGCACTATTGTCCCAGGATCTGTTTGAGACTTTGTGTCTTCCTCATCAAGCCAAAGTTCATTATTGGTTTTGACATCAAGAAGATGGGCATGATTGACGTCTGAAAGGTATCTCAATTGCTGAACAAGTCTACCTTCTTCATTTGTTGTCATATCTGTTTCTTTCAGAGAAGATTTCGCACTTTTCATATTTTGTCTCTCTTGTCCCGATCTTTTTGACGCCTTGTGTTGAAAAACAAATGGCAATTTGAAGACCTCCTTTGCTCTGTGCAAATTTTTACGGTACTGTTTGCCCATAGATTTGACTTTGGATGCAGTAGCTATGGAAAATTCCCACCGCCTGTAATTCTGTGAGCTTATATCAAAGTTATAGTCAAGGATGTCATACAGAGAGTCTGGGAAATAGTGTCCTACTTTCTTACCTAGATACCGATAGATCTCCATCACTGCAGCTCTAGTCAACAGCTTTAAGTCCAGTTTTTCCTTGTCTCCAGATTTTGATGACACATCTAGGTTCAGACCTATCTCTGAGCACACTGGAAAGCGGTCTCCATTACACTGGGTATTTTTCTTTGATTTTACGGCTCCCATATGTTCACTCAACAATGTGGCTTCTTCCTTCTTTGTTTGCAATGCCAGCTTTCTTTTTTTGGTCGTTTCCTTCCTTTCATTTTTCTGCATCGAAGGAGCCTCTTTCACTTTTCTCACATCTCTAGTATCTCTGTGAGGACATGGCTGAATAACAAAAACTTCACTAAACCATGTGGGCCCTTTATTATGTAGTACAATTTTGTGGAACAGTACTGCAGGATTTATATCTTGGCTCTGCATGCCAATGTTAAAGTTGTGTTCAAGAACATCATTAATGAGCTTATTTTTTGTTCCACACAATCTTTTGGAAAAATGAGCCACTTCCTTCATAATACCACGTGTCAATACACGGGGGTCGAGTTTGTCTTTTGGTTTGTCTTGGTCCACATATAGGCTTAAACCTACTTTCTTGCAGAGTGGGTAACTGTCCATTATTGTCTCCTCTGCTTTTTGGAAAGTAGAAGACAGATCCTTTATAGGCTTTTGTGCTGTGCAGTTTGCTTCAGTAGAGACTGTGTCAGTCATGACATGTGGACGAGAATGAAACACGTGGTCAGGGTCAGATTCATCCTGATGAAGCTTAGAATTTCTGTCTTGATAACATTTGGGGCAATATTTAGTTTTCGGATAGGTAACTTCTTCTATGCATTTTGAGTCAGGAAGCTCAAAGGGCATTTTCATGATACTGGATTTGTTAAATTTTAAAGCAGATGCTCTCATTTTCTCCAGAACTTGCTGTGCAAAGACATTGCGACAGACCTCATTTTTCAAATATAGATGAAAATTGTACTCCAATATCTCTGTGATGAAATCCTTCTGGGCTGATTGCATTGCTGTAGAAAAAGTGTTAATCTCAACCATGATGCCATTGGTCAGTAATTTTGGGTCAAGGTTTTGTTTTACTCCAGATCCCACATTGAAATCAATGCCCAATTTCTTGCATCTGGAATAATAATAAAATAGGCAATGTTCTCCATGAGGCACTGAAAGGATCTGCTGAATTTGATTAGTCCGCAATTTCCACAGTCCTAAATTGAGCTCATTTTCTTGTTCATTGTCAGTGGAACTCCCTACATTTTGGTCTATGATTGGAGCCTGGGAAGAGCCAGTGCTACATGCATCTAAAGTTGGGTTGTTCTGGCAATCCATCATCATCACTGAGAAATCTTTAATCGTGTGCTTTATCTTCTTGGATCCTGTTAGATTTGATAGATGTTTTTGTTCCATTATAACAGGAATTCTGGCAAGAATAGTTTTAGCAAGGTCAGAGTCTCCATTTTGCCAATCAAGATCAAAGTTGTGTCTGAGGATATCAAGACAAATCTGATCAAATGTTCCACACAACTTTTCTGCAAAGTTTGTCACTTCAGTCATTGCCCCATTGGTCAATTTGTTGATCTGAAGTTTTTTATTTGGTTGACTGCCGATAACATTTAGCTTCAGACCAATGTCCTTGCAGAAAGGATAAAGATCCACCCTGTGTTCTTTAGTTTCAGCTTGTAAATCAGAAGGACACAAAGGAGCAATATCACACTCAGTTGTTCTCGATATGCGCCTGACTTCAGGGTTGACGTTGCCCATGTTCTGACTGGCCATGTTGACTGATGACATAGGATCAGGAAGTTCAAAAACCTCTTTTGAAAGTTTGACTGCATGTGCACTATTTTTAAGCTGTCTTACTCTATTCATAACTTCACATGCAAAGGTTTTCCTATGGTGTTCGCTCCACAGGCCAAAGTCAAAGTTGTACTCAAGAATCTCCATGATGAAATCCTGCTGGGATGAATTCATTGCTATTGAAAATTTAGCAATTTCAAGCAGAACAGAATTATTCAAAGAGTCCAAACTGAAGTTTTTCTTTTGGAAAAATCCAACATTGAATTCAAGGCCAAATGTTTTAGATCTGGTGAATGCACAGTACTCTTTGTCAAGTGAGAAAAGGATTTGTTTGACACGATTCGCACGCAACTTCCACATGTTGCTCTCCCCTTCCATTTCCTCTTCTTTCATGTCACATTTGTATTGCACATTTCTTGGAATCGCTGTCTTCTCTTCATCTCCATACTGTCCTCTTTCATCAGGCTGACTTGCAAATGTTGGGTTTACATTTGAGTTTACAATTGGTAAACTGGATGAACAATCAGTAGTGATGAGGAAGGGCCCACGTACACCTAGATAAATTGATTCTGATTCATTATGGATGTCAGAACTTGTTGGGTTTTCTAACTCTAGGCCCAGACCAATCTCTGTGCAAATGGGATAGCAGTCTCCAATATTCTGCTTATCTTTCTTTGCCTTTGTGGCAACCATAGATTCACTCAGCATCTTGGCTTCTTCCTTCCTTGTTTGCAGTGCCAGCTTTCTTTTTTTTGTTGTTTCCTTCCTTTCATTTTTCTGCGCAGCAGATGCCTCTTTCTGTTTACTCACATCTCTAGGATCTCGGTGTGGCCATGGATAAACAACAAAAACATCACTGAACCATGTGGGCCCTTTGTTATGAAGTGCTACCATTCTGTGGAAAAGCAGTGCAGGATTTATATCTTGGCTAAGCTTGCCAAAGTTAAAGTTGTGTTCAAGAACATCATTAATTAGTTTATGTTTTGTTCCACACAATCTTTTGGCAAAACTAGTTATTTCCTTCATAACCCCCCGTGTCAATGCACAAATGTCTAGTTTAACTTTTGGTTTGTCTTTGTCCACACATAGGCTTAAACCTATTTTCTTGCAGAGTGGATAACTGTCCATTATTGTCTCCTCTGCTTGTTGGAAAGCAGATGACAGATCCTTTGTAGGCTTCTGTACTGTGCAGTTTGCTTCTGCAGAGACTGTGTCAGTCATGGCATCTGGACAAGGATGAAGCTGATGGTCAGGGTTAGATTCATTCTGACAAAGCTTATAATTTCTGTCTTGATAACATTTAGGGCAATATTTAGTTTTCGGATAGCGAGATTCTTCTATACTTCTTGAGTCAGGAAGTTCAAAAGGCATTTTCAGGAATCTGGGTTTGCTAGATTTTAAATACAGACTATTAATTTTTTCCACAACTTGCTGTGCAAAGACACTGCGACAAAGCTCATTGTTCAAATTCAGACAAAAATTGTACTCCAGTATGTCTGTGATGAAATCCTTTTGGGCTGATTGCAGTGCTGTAGCAACAGTGTTTATTTCAACCATGATGCCATTGGTCAGTAATTTTGGATCAAGATTTTGTTTTACTCCAGATCCCACATTGAAATCAATGCCTAATTTCTTGCATCTGGAATAAGAATAAAATGGGCAATGTTCAACATGAGGCACTGAAAGGATCTGTTGAGTTTGATTAGTCCGCAATTTCCACAGTCCTAAATTGAGCTCATTTTCTTGGTTATTGTCAGTGGAACTCCCTACATTTTGATCTATGATTGTAGCCTGGGAAGAGCCAATACTACATGTATCTAAAGTTGGGTAATTCTGGTAATCCATCACCATTGTTGAGAAATCTTTCATCGTGTGTTTTATCTTCTTGAAGCCTGTTAGATTTGATAGATTTTTGTGCTCCATTATAACAGGAATTCGAGTGAGAATAGTTTTAGCGAGGTCAGAGTCTCCATTTTGCAAATCAATATCAAAGTTGTGTCTGAGGATGTCAAGACAAATCTGATCAAATGTTCCACACAACTTTTCTGCAAAGTTTGTCACTTCAGTCATTGCCCCATTGGTCAATTTGTTGATCTGAAGTTTTTTATTTGGTTGACTGGAGATTACATTTAGCTTCAGACCAATGTCCTTGCAGAAAGGATAAAGATCCACCCTGTGTTCTTTAGTTTTAGTGTGAGAATCAGGAGGACACATGGGAGCAGGATCACACTCTGTTGTTCTCGATATGCTGCTGACTTCAGGGTTGACAATGCCCATACTCTGACTGGTCATGTTGACTGATGACATGGGATCCGGAAGTTCAAAATATTCTTTTGAAAGTTTGACTGAATCTTCACTTTTTCTAAGATGTCTTATTCTATTCATAACCTCACATGCAAAGGTTTTCCTATGGTGTTCGCTCCACAGGCAAAGGTCAAAGTTGTACTCAAGAATCTCCATGATGAAATCCTGCTGGGATGAATTCATTGCTAAGGCAAATTTTGCAATTTCGAGCAAAACAAAAGTAGTCAAAGAGTCAACACTGAAGTTTTGTTTTGGGCCAAATCCAACATTGAATTCAAGGCCAAATGTCTTGGACTTTGTGAATGCTTTATCTATCAAGGAGAGGATTTGTTGCACACGATTTGCACGCAGCTTCCACATATTGCCCTCTGTTTCCATTTCCTTTTCGTCCATGTCACATTTGTATGGCACAATTCTTGGAATCTCTGTCTTCTCTTCATCTCCACACTGTCCTCTTTCATCAGGCTGATTTGCAAATGTTGGGTTTACATTTGAGTTTAAATTTGGTAAACTGGATGAACCATCTGTGGTAATCAGGCAGGGTTCACATTTAGCCACGCAGCTTGATTCTGATTCACTATGGATGTCAGAACTTGTTGGGTTTTTAAAGTCATCTCCATTTTCATCATTTTCCGAATCTGTGACTTCGTCTGAGTCTAAAGGACACATGTAGCTGTGGTCATCCTCCGATGTTTGACTGATATCAGTGTGATGAAACATTGTGTTTGTCTCTTCCTGTTCAGCCTGTTCTGTTCTGCGCCGTTTGGTGACGTGTTCTCTAGTTGTTGAAAGAGCTCTTTTTTCCCGTTTACTTTTTAAATCAGACTGCCTTTTTTTGCTCACTTCTTTAAATTGATATAGTGAGGCTCCCACACTGGACAGAGGTGATACTTTTTTAAAAGGATTTGTCTGAAAGGAAAATGGCTCACTTTTAAACTCGGGACTGATTTTGGTTCCAGTGGTAAGAAGTTGCTTCTTCCTTTTCTGCAGTTGTAATATTGTGAACCAAACTTTATTTTTTTCCTGTTGACATTTAAGATCAAGTTCAAAATTATGCTCCAACACACTGAGAACAATAGATCTGTAGGATGCAGTCAGTGTTCTTGTGAACTGTACTAGCTCTAACATCATGCCCTTTGTCAGTAAACCTGGATCTAGACTTTGCTTTGACTCAACATCAAGGTTCAGACCAATTTCTGCACAACAAGGGAACGATGGAGGAACATCGTCTTTCAGTTCTTCTGTTGACTGAGGCTCTGAACACTCTGACTCATCAACATCATCACTGTCATCAGCATGTGGTCCATCCATCTCTTCCATCTTCATATAGTCTTTAGATGGTGATAGTGAACACTTCAATTTGTCCTTATGATCACTTTCATCCATGTCATCCATGTCCACCAGGAAAGTCTTATATTCTGTAGATGCCATTTTCAGCCCACTTTTGTTGTTGCTGGTACATTCTGGCTCAGATGACGTGTCAAAGAGAGTGAAACCTTCATGTTTATCTTCAGGAGGTTTTCGTATCAGGTTGCTGACTTTGTGCAGAAGTTGAGAAGTAAACTCAATCCGCTGTTGCTCGCTTTTCAATCCAAGATCAAAATTGTTCTCCAGAATATTTGTGATAAAATGCCATTTATTCCTCTTTACTGTTTCAGCAAAGTCACAGACCTCTAGTATGACACCATTTGTCAGTGAA